GCTTTATAAAACTGATAATGTACTGAATTGTTGGGGGTGGAGAACGGGCACCCTTGTCTATTGTTCATGTTGTTATAGTCTTTGTGAAAGACAAGTGGCAATATTTGTTCAAATTAAGAAACAAATACATCCTTTGACCCAATAGTTGTACTTCTAAATATTCAGATACGCACATCTACATATCTAAATACATAGCTGTATTTTTAAAAACGACTCATTGCAATAAGTTTGTATTAACACAAGATTATAAAAACCTAAAGTTTTATTGATAAAGAACTACTTGAATAAAATTTGGTATATGCATACAATTAAGTGTTCTGAAGCAATTAAAACCAACATATTAATTTGGAGTACTCACTAAACTATCTTGCTACATGAAAAAGACAAGGTTTGAAACATCTTGTTTAATATACTATCATTTGAAAGAAATCCACACATATCTGTAAATACTTGAAATATATAAGAGTAACATAGAGTATGTAGGTAGTGGTTGCCTCTGAGACTGGGGTGATTGGAGGACAGAGATGTAAAGAGACTCACATTCCACAATACATCATCTTGTACTTTTTGAATTTTGTACTACGGGCACGACCTATCTGTAAGAATTAAGGTGAAACTCATATCAAAGCAAAAATGGTTATGAACAAATATTTGAGACAAAGAGGTTAAAAATAGAAAAATTAATAAAACATATTACTCTCAAATAATAAATAGCAAGAAAGATGCCCCAAATCTGAGGCTTTTGAATAGCTTATGTGGGCTTAGGGGTGAAACAGATGAATCTTACAAGCCTCTGATAGATGAAAATTTCACAGTAGTACCTTTTTTCCCCAACCAAACCCTCAGGGAAATCAGCTGAATACCTTATACAGTAATTTTAGTTTTTCATTTCCTTGTGTAAAAACACCCCAGGAGTTTTGCTACAAAAAGGAATTCCCTGGGATTTTAAACCAGCATGGTTTAGAGAAGTCCTAACTTCAAAGTTAGGTTCCCTATGTACCTGCCCATGGGTGGCATCTTTCAAAATGAAATAATTGGAATTCGGTGGAAGTAGTGGTGGCCACACCTGGGGTTTGGTGTTAGAATAAGCAGGAAATGTGGTCTGACACCCCGGGGCACAAAGCTGTTACAGAAAGCATTGTCAATTGAACGTGTCCTTGATCCATTTGAAATGTTTTTAACATTGAATTTAATAAGGATGTGCTTGGAGACCAACTATTAGGAATGATCTCATAGAAGTCTCTCTGGGGCATAGGGGAGCACCCTTCCCACTCTGCTGAATGGGTGAGGGTGTGGGGCCTGCCCACAGCCCACCAATCTCCCCTCCAAAACAACCCTGGGAGCATGATGTGGAGGGGGAGTGCTGGGTGAGCTCCTTAGAACAAACCTGCTCTTGCTGAGTTCTCCCCCTTGCATCCCAGCTGCTGAGGCCAAGCCAACATTGTGGGCAGGTGGAATTGAGGGCTTCTTCTCAGAAAACCCAGCTCTATTGTCACTTCGCTGCTCTACTCTTGTCTGTTGTGGTCCTGGTAGCTTTTTGGTCTCACATTTCCTCCTTCCTAGGAGGGAGCACATCTTCAATTCTAATTAGATAAGAAGAAAACCTTAGAAAGACTTGTTGAGCCGGCATGGTGGTGCACGCCTATAATCCCAGCAGTGAGGAGGCTGAGGCAGGAGGATTGCAAGTTCAAAGCCAGCCTCAGCAATAGCAAGGTGCTAAGTAACTCAGTGAGACCCTGTCTCTAAATTAAATACAAAATAGGGCTGGGGATGGGGCTCAGTAGTTGAGTGCCCCAGAGTTCAATTCCCAGTGCCAAAAATTAAAAAGACATGTTGGCATCCAGCAGAGAGCAAGAACTTAGGAAGAGTTGAGGGGGGGGGACCCAAAATGCACTTTGCGGCACAGCAGTCATTTCACTAAGATTCACCCTGACTGAACATTGGAAAATCATTTTCCAGATGCAATGGATAGGCTCAGGCACTGGGAAGGAGGACCCCAGAGTACCAGTTGGCCCATTTCTGAATTACATGGCAGCTTCAGGGCTCAGGACATTCCCATTGATTAACTCTGTTCTGAACTAATTGGCCCACCTTAAAAATGACCATAATTAACTTTCAAGTTCTGGAGGGAAGTCGTAACATAGTTTTATTTCCAGTGAGAGCCAGCCCTTGAATTTTCAGAGGCTTGCTTCATCTTCTACCCGTTACCAAGTTTTTGCTCAGTTCATTAGTAAATCTTCTTGGAGGAAATGAAATAAGGAGGGAAAGGAGGAAATTCACCTTTATCAAAATAGCCCTGGTACAGGATTTTGTCAGCACGCATTTGTAACTGCTGGCTTATAAAAGCTTTCAGATTAACTCTGGATTTAATTTATCTGAGCTACATATTTCCCAGTCCCCAGTAAATGACCAGGAATTGATTCTTGGTGGTGACAAATCTGTTCACCATTGCAGTTGAGTGTCCCTAGGGGATTACGAAAGGCATTTTAATGCTGAGGTAAAAAATGGATTTGTGCCTTTCTGCTTGCAGTGATGTCTATGAACAAACACGTTGAGAGGGAAGCAGGTTACAGGGTGGGCACCACACATCTGTCCTCCTGTTCCCTGAAGGTTTTGAGCCCCATTGCCAAAAAGGGTAATCACTAGTTCAACTGGAATTTACTCTACCAAGTTCAAGCATGGACAACCTTAGAGTATTCATGCCAGGGTTTGTGAAGAGTCTACAGTGATACCTGGTTTATCGGTGGTGGTTAATACTTCTGGGTTCACGGTGGAGACCATAAATGAGTTTGAGAGCAGAGGTGATGAGTTACTGGTCACCTTTGCTTTCGGTCAGGTCTACTTAGGCTGCTTAATTGCCATCAACTAACTTCTCTTTCTCATGCCACTTACATCCTCTTGGCACCAGATCATGCTTACTGGTGTTCACTCTAACATTCTTCAGCATCAGTTTAGAACACCCTAGAAAGCTGACTGTCTAGGCTGCAAAGGGTGCTTTCCTTCTGATGCCCCCCATCTACTGTATTGATGGTTGTAGGTTTCCCTTTCCCCACTATCTCTGGACTTCTCTTCATTGTTTAGATTAATGTAATAACTTTTGTTTTCTTAAAATACTCAGGCAGTGAGTACTTTTTCTTTTAGCAAATTGCTAAGGAGCTCCATGATCCTTAGTGGTATCAAGTCATTCCTCATCTTTGAAGCACGGCATACCCTCGAGCTCTGATATTTGTACCTAAGGTGCCTTCCTTTGCCCCAGGACTCCTCCTTCCTGACTCATGTATCACCTCCAAATCTATGTGATACAATTTTTTTTTTTTATAAACTGGAAGAGTTTTCCTATTAGCACCTTGAGCTCTTCCCCAAACCCCACTTACAGGCCCCACCATGAGGTCCTATAAACTCATCGAGCATCACAAATTGACAGTGCATCTGTTGGGTATGAGTTATGCCATTGACATAGACCAAACACAGTTGTTTCTTTCCGCAATGTCAGAATTTGTTGAATAACAATAAATTTGCAGGCTACACCACTTTCGGCAATGGCAGTTGAATATGCATGGGTCACATCTGGTTGTCCTAAGTTGGGCAAACACAAATTCTTTTACTCCAATCTTAATTTCTAAATCTATAACACTCAAGTAACACTTCACACGATGATGTAGGTAAGTCACAGAAAGACGAATGAAGTGTAAAGATGACTACATGGTTGCAGATGCTATACCAAGAGCATCGGCAGAGAGGGAGGAATTCAGAATTGAAGAGTCACTGTAGGTGGACAGATAAGGATTTTAACACACATCTTCCACAGAATTGTCAAAGCAAAGGGTCTGGAAGGATGGCTGATTCAGTTTCAGCCTGTCAGCTTGGAGTGTCAGCTCAAGGTGTCAGCTTAGAGTGGGCTGTGCCTGGTGCCAAGAGCAGGAGAAACAGTGCTGGGCCGAAGCCCAGTGGGACAGGAAATTGGTTGTTTGTTGCTGTGGTGATTTTCCTGGGCAAGGCCACAAGTGACTAGGTGATGGGTCAGGGTGCCTTCACGTCTAGTCTTGGGGATGTTTCAGCTTTTATGGGTTTTAGGTGAGGGGTTTCTGTCTGGTGAGGTCCATAATCTCCCATGTCTGGTGTTCCTGATATGAGTTGGGATGTCCACATGTCCAGGTACTCCTTGATTTAGTATTTAGTTTGATAAGTTAGTACATAATTTTTTAAAAAATCGATTTGTGCCTTATGGTTGTGCTGGGCAGAAGATAGTAGTTTGCATCTGTAAACAAGATGTGGATTCAGTCTACCTGGCACTTATGTACTCATAAAATAGAGTACCTCATGGCAAACTACTGCTTTTCGAAAAGGAGTGACTCAGGGTTAAGCACAGCCTGAAAACTGCGCTTCTATACATCATGGAGTAATTCTGAGCAGGACAGAGCCTGCTCTCCACAGCATCTTTGCCCTGTAAAAGCCACATTCAGTACATTTGCCACTTGGAACAGGGCACCCCTTGCTTTGGTGCTCATCATCATGGGTCTGGACTAGAATCAATGGGTTAGGGAAGTTCTCAGTGAAGAAAGGTGGTGGCTTTCACCATATCCAGGCACAACAGGATGAAACCAGTGTCTATGTCCCACACTTCAGTCCCACTAGAATTCTTGCTCCAGTAATGGTAGGGAGCCAACATTAAAAATTTGAGAAAGAGGCAGAAATTTTGTCATGGCCATTTTCTGCAGGTCTGTTTCAATTAACTTATTACGTAGTCTTTCTTTCAAAAAGGCACAAAGATAACACAGAAGGACTCAGAGCTTTTCCAAAGGTACAAAGATGGGGACAGTGCAAGGGAAGGTACAAGAAAAAAAGATAAAATTTACCTTAGACCTTCACACCCCAAAATAGAGAGAGCCATAGATACAGATTTTATGCCTCTGTGTGTATGTGTGTGTGTGTGAGAGAGAGAGTACACACACACAGAATGTGATTCGTGACTCCAAAGAAATGCAGCAGATTGTCAGATGTGGTTTTTGGAATCTTTCTTCATTTCATTAATAACTCAGTCTGTACATATGTGAGTCTTAGGCATATAAGTGTACATGTGCCCATCCACATACTCTCACAAGATCCAAAGTGCTAACATCAGAGAGATTGCACCAAGATGGTGAAGAGTGAGCTTTGAGATTTGTGTTGTATATGTTTATATCAAGATTTTGAATTCAGGGACCTGCTGTTTTTATTGTCACTGCTGTTCTCTGCATAGCCTGTTTGGAAATGTTACAGGCCCTGAGAGACCAGCTCCCTCATGAATAGGCAATTAGATGCCTCCTCCCTCCAGGCTGCAAGAGATGCTGCTCCCCTCCTAGAATTTTCTCTACTTTTAGAAAACGTGTGCTTAACTTGTAAATGTAGTTTCCAGTGCTGGTAAGAATATTTTCGTTTTGAATAACAATCACGCTCCCTTCCACAGCGTGAGGCCTCTGCTGAGGAACAGGGAGCCCTTCCCATCCAGAATGCTCTTGCGGGGTTCAGTGGCGTCTGCCTCAGAATCCTTCTTTATAAACACAGCGCTGCACAACCATCTCCTACAGTACATAGTAAACATAATTGTTCTCACATTAAGAAGAAGAAAACAAACACAGGCTCAGTTTTTGAAGCATAGACAGAGACTATGATGCACAGGCTGCTTGGTGCCCCCGGCTGTCCTTCTCATCAGCTGGGGAAACTTGAATGAGCTGCTTTCCCTCTCTGTGCCTCAGTTTCTCCCTCTGATTGGTGAACTTCATTATGATTGCTGCACAGATTAAATGAGGTAATCAAAAAATGTGTAGAAAACTCTCTGATACATATAAGCCTTCAGTCTCTTGGCTGCTGTTGGTTTTGTAGAAGATGAGGTTAACAGGAAATGGGCCCTCCACCTGCAATTTTAACATAAATGTAAGTATATTCATTCCTCAGAAAAAAATAGTACTTTTTCTCTAAGTCTTGGCCTTGACCTCTTTTTTTCTAGCCAGTGCTAGTATTTTTTTTAAAGTGGGAATTTAGCCCCTTATAAGAAAATCCAATTTAAGAAAGTCAATCCTTAGCCTTGCTTAAAATCCTGTGCCAGCTCCCTATCATCTATAGAAGAAATTTCAAACTCCTTAGCAAGATATAAAAGGCTATTTGCAATATAGCTCTCCGTGACTTCTCTCCCCTCATCCCATTCCACACCTATATGTATTTCACGCAGCAGCAGTACAGAACTGGCCATGGAATGCCACTGTACTTCAAGTCCCTTGGCTTTGCAAATGCAAATGCATGAAATATTAGCTTTCTGGGACAACTTTACCTGACTTTTCCAGTGCCCAGTCTTCTCTCACATTCATGCTCCCTTGGAACATTCCTCCATCCTCTAGGCCTTGCTTGAATTTTTAATGTCCTACTTATTCACTGGTGTTGCAATGCATTTGCTTACAATGCACCATTTATAGGTGTGTCTCCTGGATTTGCCTGTGTCTTCTTTGTGGGCATGGACTCCGTCTTATACATTTAGGTATTCTAATACTGAACAAACAGCACAGTCCCAGGAACTCAAAAAACTGTTTCATGGTTACATTGAAATAGGGAGTAAATATTTATATTATTAAAGCCAACAGAACAGCGCTTTTTTTGTTGTTGTTGTTGATTTTTTTCCTTACCATTAGTGAGTCCAGCCATTATATTTAAAATATTTTTTAGAACAAGGTAATATATAAATAAAGGTAATATATACATACTTCATTTATATAAATGAAGTATAGCTAGCAATAAAATATAGTCCCTGAGAAAATTTGTAGTCTCAAAAGACCATAGCAGTCATTTTGATGCAAGGATAAGCAAGAATAGTTTTGTATGGTGTTCAGGTTTAAAGCCTGGTTAGAAGGGAAATCACAAAACTATTAACGAGGATTTGAGAGATCCAGCAGAGGAAGTAAATACTATTAGAATATTGTGAATTTGGTGGTTCCTATAATGATTTCCTGAATCTCCAGATAGATCAGAAACTTAGGAGAGAGGTCAGAGTTAGAGTTGAACACTTCTAATAACCCTGACATCAGGGAATAGATGTATCAAGGAAAGAAAGGTAGAAAGAGAAGTGTTTAAAGAACCTTAGGTAACATCTACATTTAAGAAAGTAAAGGGAAAGGGAAAGAAAAAGAAGGAAAGAAACAGTGGTAATAACGGAAGCAGGATGGATAGTGTAATCCCACCAGTTTAAGGAAGAGGTGTTGAGAAGCTTCAGTTGCTTCTGAAGACGAGCTTCGGTTCATTAACTGCCCGGCACATAGTTTAAAACAAATTTATCTGGGTCTCCTTAGCTCTTTGGAGTTCATATTCCATGGTAATCGTTTGTTTTCTTGTCCGTCTGTCTAGACTGGGAGCTCCTCCAAAGTGGAAATGTGTCTTCCTCTTATTTTGCTAACACTTAGCAGCACATCTGGAATACAGCTAGGGCCCAACAATTGCTTGTTGAATGAATTGGTAAACAAATTAGGCAACAGGGAAGATGAAGAAAGGAATGACCTATGGTACTTGAGGAAGAGGTACAGCTCCTGACATCAAAGAATGGAGCGTCTGAATAACTTTTTGCTCTTAGAGAAGGAAGTAATGGAGTCTGCGAAAAGGTGGTTCAAAAGTGAGCTCAGAAAAAAAAAATCAGACTCCTCTCCACTATGGCGTGAAATTCATCACCTAAATTTTCATAGTTTTAAGCCTTGTGATTTGTGAGGTATTGCACTAAAATCATCCAGGAAGTCAAGAGTTTTGTAACATTCCAGCTGCCTGAAGTCAACCAGCCACAAGATTAATGACATTGCTAGGCACATCCAGGGCCTTTCATTTTCCAAGCACTTTATAAACATTGAGTAATCTCACAATACCCTTGTGAGATATTATCATGTTCATTTTCCATATGGTTAACTGAGCCAAGGAGGTTAAATGACTTGCTCAGAGGCCACACTGGAAGTCAATGGCATAAAACGTTCAGAACCAAGGGGCTCCCAGGTCCCACACCTCACCTTAGATTGCTGAACCGAATCTCACTCTTTTGCACCGCTAAGAAGGCTGACTGACAGGCCAGCGCTCTAATAGATGGTACTTTAGAGCTGAAAGAAGTAAGGATTAGCATGCTGTTTCCCGCAGGTCAGACCTGGTCCCTGGAAAGAGAGAAAGCAATGTTCTGTAGAACCATGTGATGTAAGAAGTGCCTGGATTTCACCAGAAATGGATGAAATCTCCTCTAGGGATTTGCAAAGTCCTTTACCAAGATATGAATTGGGATGGGGGAGGAGGAAGGCAAACATAGGGAATTTCTGTCGATGAACATTTATAATCTGAGCGCTGACACCCTCTTTCCATTTTGAAAAAATTTGCATCATTCTTTGCCATTCAGTTTTGATTTTAATTGTCTATATTTATTTATTTGTTTTAATTAAGTTATACATGATAGGAGAATGCATTTTGACACATCATATGAAAATGGAGTATAATTTCTCATTCTTCTGGTTGTACATGGTGTAGAATCACAGTGGTCGTGTAATCATATACGCACATAGGATAATAATGTCCAATTCATTCTACTATCCTTTCTGTCTCCATACTCCCTTCCCTCCCTTCACTCCCCTCTGTCTAATCCAAAGTACCTCTATTCATCCCTAGCCCCCACCCTTTAATTGAGAATTAGCTTCCCCATATCAGAGAAAACATTTGATTTTTGGTTCTTTGGGATTGACTTTTTTTCACTCAGCATGGTATTCTCCAGCTTTATCCATTTACCTGCAAATACCATAATTTAATTCTTCTTTAAGCTGAGTAATATTCCATTGTGTACATATACCAGTTTTTTTTATCCATTCATCTTTTGAAGGGCACCTATGTTGGTTCCATAGTTTAGCTATTATGAATTGAGTTGCTATAAACATTGATGTAGCTGCATCACTGTAGTATGCCGATTTTAAGTTCTTTGGGTATAAACTGAGGAGTGGGATAACTGGGCCATTTAATTGTCTTTTATGCTTTCCATATCTTGACATTTCTCAACCTGATTCTTTTTTTGGTCTAAAAACTACCAAAATACTGCCAATTCATATGTGCAATCTTCTGATGAATTGGTAAGGTGAAATTTGACAGTACTTGTAATTGAGCAGCTAAGTTGGGATGTATATATTTTATTTGCAATTATGTATTTATAACCAAGTCTTAAAATTTCTTCTTTGAACTTTAAATTTCTACAAATGAAGATAGGGGTATGGAGTGAATGCTGTTGGTACCTTGCATGAATCTCCCTGTGCTTCTCATATGGGAGTTAAAACACCTAATGACTTCTGTAGTAAGCACCTGTGACATTTTGCCTATGGGTTCTCTGACTGCATGAACATGGTCCACCTATGTGGGGGCAGGTTAGAAGCCAGGGGGAGCTAGTGCCCTGAGAGTAGACTTGACCAAGGACTATGGGAACTCAGCTTTCCTATCTCTTGGATGGGTTCAAGGCAGCCTCCTGGCAATCCTTAGCAAGACAGCATCTCAGTTACCTGCAGCAGTAACTTGTCTGGTAATATTCACCCTGATTTCCTTCTCTCTCCATCTCACTCCCCCCCCCACTCTCCTAATAGAGCTTCTTGAGATTTTCATTTAATAAACCACTTGTACCCAAATCCCTGTGCAGGGCCTGCTGCTAGGTCAGTCTCAGCTAAGGCCATTAAAAGGTTTATAAGGATAACAAAGGATAATGAGGCTTTGAAGTTCTGATATAATCAACTTACAAAGGACTTAATCACAAGATTCTTATAATCATTTGTGAGTTAGGATGCCTATTATTATTATCCCAATTTAACATTGAAGCTATCAGTAACTCAGTAGGATTAAATGCTAAGGCATTTAATTTAAGAGCCAAAGTTAGGGAGTAGTGCCTTTGGCCTATAATTTAGACCTCTGTTTTTAAAACTCTGTTTCTACCTCTTCACTGTGTGTTGCTAGTCAAGAAGAGTTATACAATGATGACTTCTGCATCTCTCTCTCTTTCTCTTTCTTTTTCTTTTCTTTTTTTTTTTTTTTTTGAACTGGGGATCAAACCCAGGGCTTTGCAAATGGAAGGCAAATGCTTTGCCACTGAGCTACATCCCAGATCTACAATGATGACTTCTAATGATCTGCAAAATGTAGACACCATTAGTGTAGTTGAATAGCTATTTAACTTCTGCCTACATGTTAAATTTTATTAAAATGTATCAACTACATGTACATTCTACCTTTCATTAACCACTATTGTGTTTTAAGGTAAACTAAACATTAAGACTTAAATTATGTCTTGATTCTCTTTAGAGAACTGTTAAACATCATTCAAATCTGTTTTCCTTCAGACATTTTTTATGAATTATTTGTTATAATTTATGTATTTTTTTCGAATAATATTTCCATGGAGTTATAGGAGACCTTAAAATATAGAGATGCTGTAATCTTACACATAGCATCTCTAACAGATGGCATCCAGCTCTGCTGTCCTGTTTCTTACAATGTGGAGATGACTCTTAACACATGGGAGCCTATTTCATTGTTGAAAAGGTGTGGTTGTTGAAAATGTCTTCCTTTCATTGGTCACAGTGGATTTCTGGTAACTTCCCTCCTACTAATCTGTATGAAACCAACAGAACAAGTTTAATCATGTGTCTTGGGGTAGGCCTCTTTCTTTATGTTTATCACTTTTTCCTGTGTTAGCTTTTGTGTGGGACGTTGCTCTGAGTAGGCATGGCAAGACTGGGACCTCTAATACTGAACTAGTTCTTTATTCTTCTATTGTGGTACTCTTACAGGTGATGCTTTTGTTCCTGTGTATGGACCCAACATTCCTGGCACCTTACAGTACCTTGGCTTGTGTATTTACTATCATTTATCATTTCTCTGTAGGTTTCTTTAAACCATAAGTATGTGAGTTGACCCTTGACTGTGAGTTTCCGCCCGCTTTTCTCTTAGTTTCTGATAATTTGCTTTCCTACTTTGGTTTTAAATTTTTATGTATTTATCAAACCCACAATTTGTGCTTACTCTTTGACTTTGAAGCACATCTTTATGGGTCTTATTTCTCCTTGCAGATGCAATTTGGGGGGATTGGTTCACTGGAAGGCAGTGTAAATCACTCTTACTTCTCCATATTTCTTCCCTAGATATCCTACTTGGATCCAAGTCTTGGCCATGTCGCCCAACTCCTCTTTTCCACAATCTTCCTTCTTTGGCAATTCCAGAATAAAAAAAAAAAACACATAAATTTTATAGCAAACCTGGGTTTTAAACTTGGCCTTCCCCACTGTATTATTCTCCTTAAATTGCTGTAAATAATTATCATAAACTGGTTGGCATCAAACAGCAGAAGTTTAATATTTCCATGGAGTTATAGGAGACCTTAAAATATAGAGCTGCTGAAATCTTACAGATGGCATCGCTGACAGATGGTCATCCAGCTCTGCTGTTGTGTTTCTTACAATGGGGAGACTGTACAGTTTTGGAGGTCAGAAGTTTGAGATCAAGGTAATAGGAGGTCACATGTTATGGTTTGGGAGGTCAGAAGTTTGAGATCAAGGTAATAGTAGGCTGCAGTGTGACCTGGGGCTCTGGGAGACAATCCATCCCTTGTTTACTTCATCTTCTGGGGCTACTGGTGTTCCTGGGCTGTGACTGTGTCTCTCATTGTTCTGTCTTCACATCACCTTCTCTTCTCTCTGTGTGTTTTCCAAGTTCTTGAAGGCTTTCTCTCATGTGGACAATTGTGATAGCCTTGGGGCCCACCCTGATCAACTAGGATTAAATCTTCATCTCAAAATCCCTAACTAGTCACATCTGCAAAGACTTTTTTTTCCCAAATAAGGTAATATTCACAGATTCATGGGATTAGAACCTGATACTTCTCATAGCTACCACTCTGCCCATTTAACTTCTTATTACTTTTATTTTAAGCAAGTATATGAGCCTCAATTTTTTTCACTGACAATTTGGAGGCAACAATTAGTTCAAGACAGTATTGTTTTGAACTTTATATATACACAAACATTGTGAAGTTCAAATATATAATTATTTTGAAGTTAAATTATGCATATATATATATTAAGTGTTCAATAAATTTCAGTTACCTATTCTGCCTTCTAAACACAAGTTTTAGGTATGTTATTCAGGAGAAGGCTCTTAATTTTTTTCTAATTTTAGTATTCTGAATTTTTATAATTAAGGATTAAAACACTTATCTCATAACATCTTTAAATTCAAATGTGATAATATATGGGGAAGTGATTTGTCAGCCATTGCTTGTTATGAAATAAATTGCTACTGCCTCAACAGTAATTAGTTTATGTTAAAGTGTGGCCAAGGGTAAGTCCTAGATAGTTCAGTGAACTGCAGTCTAGTCAATGCTCTTCTAGTCTATATTTATTTGATTTAAAAAAATAAAAAATAGGATTCTATATCCTGCTAAATTTTATTTTGTTGAGTTTAGCCCAGCATCCCGTCTGTCAAGGTTATGTTGAATTTGTATTTGGAATTATTATGTTATCCTTTAAAGCTTTGGGGATATTCTGGCTGGCACTGTTACACTACCGTTCCTAGAACATTCAAAGAAGAGTCAGAGTTCTCAGCTCCCGCCATGGCCACACCCACTCCACCTCCTTTTTGCGTCCTCACTTTCCTTAACTTTAGAAAGTCAAAGAAAATCCCATTTAATTTTCTTTATGATTGAATATATAATTTAGAGAACTGCTCCCAATTACTAGAATTTTCTGAGTTGAAGGCTCCATATAAAATGCTTGAAATAAAAAATACAAATGAAACAATAATAAGGTATATGCTTATCCAGGGACAAGTCAATCAGAAAGTGTCTTTTTTTTTTTTTCTAATGGAAGATTAAAAAGGTATTTGTCCACGTCAAATTGTCTGGATTTCATCATGTATCCAATATATCATGGATCTGTAATGTTTCAAAATTCCTATTTGTTATAACACCTGATTTGAATAGTATTTGGGTACTTTCATTCCCTTTCAATACTGTCCTTTTAATGATCACATCTACAACCCAGACACACACTCACACGCAATACATACATGCAGATACGTGTGCAGGACCTACTTAATGCCGCGTCTTTAGCAAGAATGAATTTATAACTCAGGAGTGAAGAGT